ACAAACACACACAAACACATGATTCTGTGAGCAGATGATGAGGCAGAGAGGGATTCCCATTCTCCTAATGAGGGGGAAAATAGTGCCCTGTGGGCTTACACACACAAACACGCACACACACATATACAGGAGGGCAGCAGAGAGTTCACTTTCAGTTCACTTATATGATTGTGTGTGTGTGTGTATGTGTGTGTGTGTGTGTGTGTACCAAAGAAAATTAAAGTTGTGTTGAAGGAGAGTCAGATCCAGTGCATGTATCAGGGAGGCGTTTCAGGGCGATATAGACAAAAACAAACAGACTAAAGTACAGCTTTTACCCAAGAGCTGTCGTTGCCCTGAACGCTGCAGACTCCTCCATCAATAAATAAGCCAAATACTGTGAAATAGGGAATTTCTGTTTCATATCAGGTGCAATACTCCTGAATGTCTTGAGTGCAATATCCTGGTTGTTTTTATTCATTATCACAGTTTTTCATAGTATATTTTACTTAAATTATATTTTTATATTTTTCTATTGTGTTATTTTGTGCTATATTATTGTTATTTTTTTACTGATACTTTTGCACTGTCTGCGAGAGCGCCTTTTGGTACAATGACAATAAAGAATTCTGATTCTGATTCTGATTATTTTCCACAGACATTGTTGACTGTGAAGAAAAATACCTCACCTGTGAAGCTCAGCAGGTGATTTCCTCTGAACATTTAGCCTTTGGGTTAATGCTCAGTCTCTCTATGATCCATACTTGGGCTGATATCAGATACACACAACTGTGAGCTGTAGACTGTGGGCTTGTAGAAGACCATGGTTTTGATCCACAATCCTGTTGGTGCATTAGTGCAGCTCTCAGCCGCTGAGTGGGTCTGTGGGTTAGCTTAATGTGTTACTCCAGTCATGTTTCTCAGAACTGTATAACCCCATGGACCATGTCATGGCCCCGAAAGTCTGGGTTTAGAACCAGAAGTGACCATATTTGGTAAAAGGGATGGAGCTTTGGCAGGTACACCTGCCTTTGTTTTCATCCTAATTACAGTGTCATGGTGTCTTAGCAGCTATTTTGCATTTACGTGTTGATGAGCCCAGAGGCTGCTCCTGCCTTGTTGTCTTTTTCAATAAACTACATGGGGCCAAAATTATTGAGCATCATTCTGGAAACAAAGTAATATCTGACTGAATTATTCCCCTTCTGTCGTGTGGTAGTCTGTTACCCTATTAAAACCCGCCTCACCCTATATTCCCTATCACAACCCAGCAAACCCCTCTGCTGCAGGAAACACTATCTGACAGAAGAACAGATTTCCCTATAACACCTGCTTCCTTCTAGTCATGACATTCAGGCAAGGGTACTGATCCTGCCGTATCCTTTTTAAAAACATTTCCCAGTATTTATTTACTAGACTTTATCTGTATTTATAGCTCCTGTGAGGTTTAGTTGTACAAATAAAAGAAGGTGCAGATAAGGCTGCACCTAGACATGAAGCAAATTTGATTTTAAAAACAATACTTGTAGTTTGGAGCCTAAAGCAGAACCGAGGCAGTTTATTGAGAGGGAAAACATTGAGTGATGGTCTCCAGAGTCCAGGCCATGAGAGGGGAATCCAAGGTGTAAGTTGGAGATGTGAGGGCTTGAGGAGGAGGCTGGTGAGTGAACCCAAGGAGAGAGTGTGGCAGTGTGGCAGGGGTTGGATGGTAGCACAGGGGGCTCGTGGAGGCACTGGAAGAGACAAGGTACAGCTAAATTAGTCACAGGTAAAACACACAAAGCTGGAATATTCAAACAATTGCAAACACTCGAGAAAACTCAGTAGATATGGCCGAGAAACCACATGAGGTGCAGGAATAATCTGGTATGGGAGAAGCGTCACAGCAGGGCTGAAGAGCAGGTGGTGATTGCAGTAATTCAGTGCAGGTGAGAAGGTGTGGTGGACACGAAAAGTTAACCCTCCTTTAAGCTCACTCAAGACCACCAAAGCACCCTCACAGACGCCGCAGCCTTCCCAAGGGTAGCAGTCACCGAAAAGTGTAGTTGCTATAAAGTGTGACATCATGTGAGAATAAAGAATTTTTTTAAATAAACTTAATTTTTTTTTCTTGATTTGTTCTTCCCTAAATGTAATAGGTGTTATCTCCAGACTAACCATAAGCAGGTCACCAGTGTGCAGACATGTCATTCTGTGAGTCCTGGGTATCCTGTTTGTTGTGCTTGGACTCAGGGGGACTTGGTAACACCCTGTTTCCATCTGTCTAAGAAACCTTTCATCTAAAGTCAGTTTTTGCATTGGCAGACACATCAGGCCGGCGTTATATCAACATATCAGCTCAGTCCTGACAATGACTCTCCTTCACTGTTCGAGACTGGCGCGTGAATTACATACCTTGGCAGTGAGACTTGCGTGGCCTTCGTGTGTGGCCTTCTCCCTTTTTCCTCACGTTCCCATGTTGCTGTTAGGAGGCGGGGGCAAAGGGAAACGGTTGCCGTGGAAGGCCATGGTATCTCCGTCCAACAACTGTAATCCCAGCTCGTAAAAGGGAGTGACAGCAGAGATATGTCTGAACGTGAATGAGGCCAGACAAATGTTCCTGAAGCAAATGGCCTGAGGTTAATGTGTTGACAAAGCAGTTGGCTCATTTTAAACTCAAAGCCTTTGTGACATGAGTACCGAGAAGCATCCTGTGTGTTATGTGTTGAAAGAAGCGCGAGTCAATAAATGTTGACTTTAATTGACTGTAATGAGGTTGTGATCTCGATGACAGCAGTCGCACAGTTGTAAATGTACTTGTTGGGAATGTGTTCAGATTTTTTGTGGTATAAATATCAGTGAGAGAACTTTGACCTGTAGGAGGTGATTACAGCATCACCATAAACAAACCACAATAAGTGAAGTTTTTAATAAGCCTTAGTTCACATGGCATGTGTGTAAACCTGAAGATGAGCCAAGATCTATCCTTTGGAGTAATAAAGGAATCACTGAATTGTGCTCACTCTACTTCCTGACTTTCTGAAAGCCCGGACCTTTTCCTCGTGTGTGTGGTAAAAATGTTTTTTCCACCCTCTCTCTGCCTTTACGTGCTAAGCTGAACCATCAATGTCAAAACCCTGCACCTGTTCTCTGGACACAAGATGAGATAATCTTTCCCTGCCTGCAGCGGCTCAAACTCGTTGCAGGCACGGATCAGTGTAGCTATTGTAACGTGACAGTATCTGAGCAGAATGCATGAAGGGTTAACACGGAGCGGGGTATCAAATTATGTCAAAGTCCAAATGTCAAGTCCTGAAACAACCAAGGGCTTGTAAACAAACAGCATCAAAAATAACAGAGTGTACAGTGGCTTGATTCATCAGAAAATGAGGGGATAAGTCAGAAATACTGGTTATTGTATTTATCTTTAGGGGTGATGTTAATCCACGCTGATTTTCAAGATCCAAAGGACATATTTAAAAGGAGCTAAAATATAGCAAAATTGCTCAAAGAAACTAATTAATTTGTGTTACTTGTAACACAGAAAACAAAAAACAAAGTACTAAAGGTTGTTTACGAACAAATACTCTAACTTTGAATATAACAATGGATCCTTTGGGTAAATATCGAATTCTCAACATAATGAAGATAAAATAATAACTCATAACTTGTTTTGTTTTTAAGTTGAGCCATCATTAAATAGCTGTATGCTAATCGCAATAAGAATAAAAGTATGTTTTTTGCAGCATAAGGCAGAACAGACTTGGTAGAAAATGAGTATAATATTCATCAGCCTGTTCAAATGCGTATAAATTGCCTGAATGTAACATTTATGACGTTTTAGTCAAATTAAAATGAGGCTTTATATCTACATAGGAGCAGCACCCCCTCCACAGAGGCCTCCATCTCACACTGCCATGTTTCTGCAGGAGCACAAAACAGACAAACCAGAGGCACAAAGTGCTATCGTTGAAAGACAAAGAAGAGCAGGGGTGCCATATGAAATCTGTCTATATCAGCTATAAATTCTGAGCAAGTTTGATATTTTAGAAACAAAAAATATATATATGAGACAATGTGCCTTCTAAATATACATGTCATCCACAACAATCCTGATCCGCAGAGTGTAGATGAACAAAGGTCGGAGCAACTCTTAGAATGTGCTGCTGTAGTCCTCCATTATTATAGACAGTACAAACAGACTTAATGATAGGCTTTTTGGTAAAAATGAACCCTCCTCTTAAAATGCATCATAAGCACATTAATAATGTCAATAATCTCTCATAAATACATTTATAAGGATTTAAAACAAAATCAGTGAGCATAATTCTTTCTTTATTTATGTGTAGTTTATAATGAGTTATACAACTTTGAAAAGTCATTGCTGTAAATTATTTTTGTCAAAATTTCAGCTTAAAATTTCTTATGAATGTGTAGTAGGTTTAAATAATTGTTAATAACCTCATACATATTTCACATGTTTTAATATAAATATTTTTTAAGTTAAAGAAATCACAGAAATTATTTATATATTACCCATACATAGAAAGAGTTCTTTATGAATATTTATAACAGGGTTAAGTTGTGAGAGTTTTTGTGTGTTATATCAAAAATTCACTGCACTAAGGTCTAATACATTATAAACCATAGTTTTATAAGGCATTACGCTCACTGTTTTTAACACTGCATAAATATAGCTATACTGTTATAAATACTTATAATCACTATTAAGGAGTGCCGTATAGATAATGCTTTTTAAGTATTTATGATGAGAGGTGGGTTCATATAATCTGTTACCAACATTTTTGTGGGCCAATGTGACCATTAGCGCTCCAGTGCTTATGCTCCTGTGTGAAATACCGTATTTGAATTTAAACTGTGGTCTTTTGATGACTCTGCAGCTGTGAAGTTATCAGAAAATAAAGATAGACAGCTCTTAAGTTCAAGTCTCACACTGAGGATGTTGGTGCACCAAGTGTGTATGTGTGTGTCTGTTTGTTAGTTTGATTGTGTAATGTGTAGAGGGGTTTTTGGCTAAGATCAGATGTTGATCTTTATGTTTGAGCTAATGTGGGCTGTGACCTATGATGTGTGTGTGTGTGTGTGTGTGTGTGCGTGCGTGCGTGCGTGCGTGTGTGTATTAGAGAAAGAGTGGCTCCAGTCTATGTGGCGTCCTTAATTCCATCCACAAGCTTCAGTTTCGGTCCAGAAACAGCTGTTCATTTCCACAAACATAAATGTGTCTGAACTTGGTCCCTGACCTTCAGAGAGGTTGAATAAAAGAATAATACTGGAGGACTGCAAGAGGGGAAAGGTGAACGACAAGGTGAAGAGTCTGGAACAGGATATGTGTGCAGAGGGTGAGTACAAAGACCTTCAGTAGCTAACCTAATGATATCATGTTGGTGTATAGATCGAGTGGGTGGTTATTGAGCACTTGCAGTCAGATGTCTACTGTGATGCCACTCATCAGGAACAATAGATGTGATGTCTTAGCACTAAGTAACATCATCAAAGTTATCAGACTGTGTGAGTCAGTGAGGTGAGTCACCTTGAGAGCGCTCACAGACGTACGTGGAGAAACTTGAAAACTTGAGAAGACCAGTATTATTACCCAACTCTTGCGGTTCTCCTGATTCCTAACTGGTTTCCATAATCCAGTGGTTGTCTGTCCTTAATTATCATTGGAAAAATTTCTCAAGTGAGATAAAATCCAGCTCCACTGATGAAGAACCTGAAGGGCAACACCAACTTCTGCCAGTTCTCCAGTTGTGTTTCTGTGGTCCAACTCAGGACTAAATGGACTGTGTTTAAATCTCTCTTCCGCTAGTCTTCTGTCCACTCAAAGCACTTTTACATACATGTCACATTCCCCTAATTGTCCTCTTGTTGAATTTAAAGTCCTCAGACAAGTTAAGTGTCCACTGTCTCAGACATTTCTTTCAGCGCAGTGATCATATACATAAACTCTCCAAGGATGTCTTCACAATAGAAACTTCAACCCAAACAAACAGGTTCTCGCTGAGATAAATAAACAAACAGATGTGCGCATATACATACATACACACACACACACACACACACACACACACACACACACACACACACACACACACACACACACACACACACACGTGCACACAGGGCGTGGGTCTGCATGGTGTCTCTGCAGGCTGTGAATGATGAACTGGCTAAATGAGCAGCTTTATCAGAGAGGTGGCTTCATGTCATCAATATCCTCTTATATAAATGTCAGCCTGGCCGTTTTACTCACAGCTATTTCCCACACTGCTGATTTCATTACTCTCACAGACTCTCTCTCTCAGTCTATCACCCACCTCACTCACCCTTCCTTCATTTTCTCTTTACCTGCCCTCCATTAATCGGCCTCTGTGCTGACTGAGTGCCTCTTGTTCTTTTTTTCCTTTGTTTCCCTTCCCTCCTCGTCTTTCTCTCCCTCTCTAACCCTCACCCTCACCCTACCTTTCTCGGATCTATCTCAGGTGCCTGTGCTCATTCTGTCTAAGCCTCCCCCTCTCTCCCCCTCTGTAGTGTGTCAATACCCTGCCTCCATGAAACAAGTCAATTTTCTGCTACCTTGGCAGGGGAATAAATCTTGGAGCAATCTGAGAGGCCAGGGATATTTATGTGTGTGTGTGTGTGTGTGTGTGTGTGTGTGTGTGTGTGTGTGTGTGTGTGTGTGTGTGTGTGTGTGTGTGTGTGTGTGCGCGTGCGTGCGTGTGTGTTCAATACAAATGTGCACAGACATAAGGTGACATACACATTTACTCAGCAGCAGAGGGAAATTAGCTCCCTGAGAAGGAGTGTGTTCACTTTGTTGTTTGGTCACTGTGCTCACATTTATACAATGCATTAAGATTTCCATGGTGTTGTAATCCCTTTGACATTAAAGATTGTCTCATGTTCTCTACTATAATACTGATTTAGGTCATTTTGTCCCATTCTGAAAAGCAGAAAGAGTTATTTTCCACAGCATATGTGCACACAAACACATCCAGTTGATATTGTGTGAGCTTTTCCACTTCAAATGTGGAAAAACTAATTATGCTGGTTCTACTGTTTAATTTACAGTTTCACAGACCTCTCTCACCCCTACTCAATTTCAAGGTCATAGGATAACGAAGCAAACAAAAACAGACTCAGGCTGATCCATTTAGAACTTCCTTGTGACTGTACTTCTTAGCCCTGACCCTCTTTCACAAAACATTCTGGACCAGACAAACAATTCAGCAGTTCACATCACACGTTTATAGTTCACACTTTTCACAAGTTCACATTTCTGTTCAATTAATCTTGAGACTTTCTAGTGTTGTCACAATATCAAATCTTTGACCTTATCTTGATCCGCCCAGCTCTTTTTCATCTTCAACCACATCAGTGGAACACTTAACAGCATTTATCAAATTACAGTGGAGAGGAAGAACTTCCTTTAACAAGCAGAAACCTCAAGCAGAACCAGAATGATGATAGACAGTCATCTGCGTTGGGAGAATAGTATATCCATGCAAGAAAGGTCACACAACTATAAATATATTTCAGGTTGGTTACAGACAGTGTACTTCAGTTCAGCCCATGGCATTGTTTCTGCCTCTTAATAGATCGTTTTTGGCATAAAACTGATCCTTTTGTTCCTTTTTCTGGGTGTTCTGTTGACTTCCACTGTCTTGAGTATTTCTCGAGTAGCCATAATCACTCTGAAGGGATTTTCACACCTAAGTTGTTTGGTCTGGATTTCAGACTTTTCTGTTTGGTCCAATCCAAATTAATAGCTGTGAAACCTCCTCTAGACCTTGGTCTTAACCAAACAACTGGACTTTGGTAAAACCAAAAGAGGTGGTGGTAATCGGTTCTTTTGGTAAAACCAAAAGAAAACCAAAAGAACCAATTACCTGGCTTTATATGCCAGCTCCTCTGTCAACTCAGGGCCGGATGATTTTCCCAGTATTTTTTTCCAGCCATTAACTTCTGCATTCTGGCAGCCAGCAGTGGGTTTGGGGACACCGCTCTCCGAGCCATTTTCCGCAAAGGGTTAATGGGAGAATCAAAGGATGAGTTGGCAGTGCGGGAGGAGAGCTCTTCCCTAAATGAGCTAATAGAATTAAGCATACACATAGATAACAGACTCAGAGAGAGAGATGGAGGGAGAGGAGAGCGGATCAGACTCGCCGTTCATCAGCGTCCAGTGTAGCAGCCCCGGAGACTACGCCTCCTCTCCTGACGTCGGCCCGCACCTCGCTCCTGAACAGCACTCACCTCCACCGGACAAGCCAATGCAGCTGGGTTGATCTCGCCTCACGTCAGCTGAACGACAGCGGAGGATGCAAGGAAAGCTCTGCCTCTACTGCGGACGTGGAGGTCACTACCGCGCTACCTGCACAGAGGTGCCCAAAAGGCAGGGCTGGCCAGTAGGTTGTGGGGCGCTGGTGAGCCGTATCTCTCCCTCCTCTTCCTCCCAGATCCGTGTTCAAGGTATGCTACACGAAACTCACTTATCACATGAGCTGCAGGTACTCATTGACTCGGGGGCTGATGACAACTTTATTGACGAAGCCTATGTGAAAGCTAATCACCTGCCTGTTAGCCCTCTGACTTCACCCAAGGAAGTCCTAGCCATAGATGGACTACTCATAAACACTGTTACCCACAGAACCACCCCTTTAAAGCTGACTCTCTCTGGCAATCATCGCGAACATCTAGAATTCTTTGTCATAACCTCTCCGCTCACTCCAGTTATTTAGGGTCTCCCGTGGTTACAGCTTCACAACTCCCATATTGACCGGTCCACTTCCACCATTCGCAGCTGAAGCACTTACTGTCGCGCCCACTGTCTCCATTCAGTGCTTCCAGCCAGATCTCCTCAATCCTCACGCCCACCCCGAGACTATAGACCTGAGTAATATCCCTCAGGATTATTATGACCTACAAGAGGTTTTCAGTAAAGACGCAGCCTGTTCACTCCCTCCTCACCGCCCCTACGACTGTGGGATTGATTTACTTCCCGGAGCTCCCCTCCCCACACTAAAACTGTATAACTTGAGTAAACTGGAGAAAGAAGCTATGAAAACTTACATCACTGAGTCGGTGGTGGCAGGCCTCATCAGGCCCTCATCCTCACCGGTAGGGGCGTGTCTTTTTTTTGTAGAGAAGAATGTTGGTTCTTTGCGCCCCTGTGTCTTCTACACGGGGTTAAATGACATTACAGTCAAAAACAAGTACCCACTGCCACTGCTTGACTCTGCATTCAGCCCACTCCGCAATGCATACCACTTAGGCAGAATTAGAGAAGGTGATGAGTGGAAAACCGCATTTAATACCCACCTTGGACATTATAAATATCTGGTCATGCCCTTTGGTCTGACCAATGTTCCAGCGGTTTTTCATTGTCTGATCAATGATGTTCTCAGAGACATGCTACATAAGAATGTGTTTGTCTACCTGGACAATATCTTGATTTTTTCACGCACACGAGAGGAACACATAGAGCATGTTAGAGCCGTCCTTCAGAGGCTACTAGAGAACAAGCTGTTCGCCAAAGCTGAGAAATGCGAGTTCCATGTGTCTACTGTGTCTTTCCTGGGTTTTATTATAGAGAAGGGGCAGCTTAGAGCGGATCCCTCCAAGATTGAAGCAGTCAGGGCCTGGTCGGTTCCTGAGAACCGAAAACAACTCCAGCAGTTTCTAGGGTTTGCAAACTTCTACAAACGTTTTATACACGATTACAGTCGCATTACTGCTCCCTTGACACGGCTCACGTCCACCAACCTCACTTTTACCTGGTCCCCCTCTGCTCAGGCTTCTTTCGATCACCTTAAAAAGCTTTTCAATAACACTCCTGTCCTTTTCCACCCAGATCCTTCGCAGCAGTTTGTGGTCGTGGTGGACGCATCTGATTCAGGAGTGGGGGCCGTCCTCTCCCAGCGTCAACCATCTGATCAGAAACTGCACCCCTGCGCCTTTTTCTCTCGCTGCCTCAACCCTGCGGAGGTCAACTATGACGTTGGGAACCACGAGCTGCTGGTGGTGGTGCTCGCATTACAGGAATGGAGGCATTGGCTGGGGGGGGGCTAAGCCGTTTGTGGTCTGGACCGACCAAAAGAATCTTTCTTACCTGTGCACGGCTAAGAGGCTGAACTCCAGGCAGGTCTGCTGGGCCCTCTTCCTTTGGCGCTTCAATTTCACCCCTACCTACCGCCCTGGCTCCCGGACGTCAAGCTTGACGCGCTGTCCCATCAATTCACCCCTGAGGGGAGTGGTGGAGACGATCCTCCCCTCCACATGTGTTGTGGGGGCAGTCCAGTGGAAAGTGGAGCAGGATGTCCAGGCTACACTCAGGGACCACTCCTGTCCTTTTCCACCTGCGGCCAGATCCGCAAATCCTGTGGGGGCACGCCTCTCAGCTCGCCTGCCATCCCGGGGTTCGGCAGACCCTCATTGGTACTACATTGGTCCCTACGTCATTGAGAAGGTCATCAATCCGAACGCCGTCAAGCTCCGCCTCCCCCCTTTCCTCAGGGTGCACCTGGTATTCCATGTCTCCCTCCTTAAGCCTGTCACCAACAGCCCCCTCCAGCACCACCGCTTCCTCCTCCTCGCCTCATCGACGACCACCCCGTCTACACAGTTAACAGGACGTCTGCAAGAGAGGCCGGGGGTTTCAATACTTGGTTGACTAGGAGGGGTACGGTCCTGAGGAGGGCTCCTGGATCTTGCGTTCCCTCATCCACAACCCACAGCTGCTGCGAGATTTCTATGCCACCCACCCAGGTAAACCAGGTAGAATGCCAAGAGGCGTTCCTTGAGGGGAGGGTACTGTGAGGGTTTGAGTTTATGCAGCAGTTAGGTTTCCTGTGTTCCTCTCCTCTGTGTTCCCCCCCCCCCCTCTCTCTCTCTCCCTGCACGGCAGGAGGCGGGGGCTGGGTCAGACTGATTGCACGCACCTGATTCTCGTTATTGTCAATTACCTGGCTTTATATGCCAGCTCCTCTGTCGACTCAGGGCCGGATGATTTTCTCAGTCATGCTACACATGTCTTGCCACGCTGAGCTCCCTGATCTCCCTGATCTCCCGATTGTGTATCCAGCCTACCTCTCAGTATTTGTTTGTGAGTTCTTTTTTTATTTTCCAGAGAATTTTTTCCCTTGAGCAAAGGTGATTTTGTGTTCATGTTCTTTTTCCCTCTAGTTGAGAAGATTTTTTGGTTTACGATTTTCTGTTGCACTTCGACTTTTACATCTTTAGTTGTTACTTGCCCCACGTGGCACTATCATTTGAACTTTGTTTTTTCACCAGCTATTTGCCTTACTGCAGTGACTCTTTTTCTAACTCTGTTTTTGTGTCTTTTTAGTGGCAGTCCGAGCCAACCGTGCCTTTTCCTGGAAACAGTGATTTTCTGTTGTTACTTTGTTCTATTGTTTATTGTCAATAATTTTGGGCTATTGCCTCTGCATTTTTGTATCCTGGCCTTTGTTCGATTCCTAACAGACAGGAAATGGCATGAAGAGTTGAAGTGTCTGTTCTTATGTTGAATGGAGATTGTCCAAGAACTGGAAATGTTATAATATTGTAGATAAAGTTAGACCTCACTATTGACAGCTTATCTTTTGAAGAGTTTTACAACACAGACTTTCTCTCCAGAGTTGGTGTTGCAGTGGCCTACAGGATTACATACTTTTTTTTCCCTTTCCTGTTGACGATGGTGAAGTTGTTGTCTAATGATCAAATTCAAAAGACAAACTCGGACCAGCCTCATGTATAGCTCTTCAAGTAGTCACTGTTGGTAGAAAAAAAATCAACAATAATATGATGGAGGGAATGACGATTTTATTCATGTTAACAACATTCAAGACTCGCGTTAGTCAACGTGTTGATGCCAGACACCCACTGTTCAAACAGCCAATCAATGTAAATTACGGAGACACACAAAGCAAGTTGTTGACGACAATATCACGTAGATTCATCATGTGAAGTCTGTTAGATTGTTTGCATGATGACAGTGTGAAAACACCCAAACATAACTCAACACTAATAAATCCAAGAATTCTTCACTTGGCAGCATTTATGCACTTGTGACCTGTCTCCTCTTAAGCACAGTACTGCAGACATTGATAATGT